ATAAAGATCGACTTGAATATTGAGAGCTTAGTTTTCAGACTGAGCTCTGCTTTAGTCACAATGGGTCCGGATAGTTCACGCAGAACGCCACTGGCTACTCCAATTCGCAGGTCGATCTATCACTAGTAAATACAGTTCCGAGGTACTTGAACTTCTCCACCTAGTCCATTGCCTCTCCGTTAATCTGAAAAGAGCAACGGGCAGGAGAACGAGAGAGGCCTAAGTCTAAGAACGAGAAACTTTTGCAATGAAGTGAATTTAGAAAAGATGGGATCCAAGCAAAATATTAGGTAGTCAAAGGTACTGAGTAACAACAGGTCGCTCATGAATATTCTTCGCATGAAGGCATGAAGCACGCAAACAGAACGGTTACGGCCGCTTTCTCCAAAAGCCTATTTAAACGAAACGAAACCTATATCACGAAAGAATTAAAATGACATGACTAATGAGGTAGTAAAGTCAGATGGTACATCAATTGTTGATATCATAACAAGGCGTCATACTTTCTAGCTAAGTTTCAGTGAAATTTTCTAGCTAATCTGCGTTCCACTCACTCAGTAACTGCTTGTAATGGTCATCGTAGATATAAATGACTCTCGGTTAGGTGATGAATTCAAACCATCTGAATCGGCAAAGACCCTGTTCTCGATATGCAATGCACTAAATATTATAGAATCGTTCGACGTTGCGATGCAACAGTGGTGCCTAAAGCAGGAATGGATAATTTACTTTGGTAGAAAGCTAAGCGAAGCCACTTCAAATTACACATTATTCAATCATTTGCAAGAAATAAGTTGTTCGTACGCTCGAGCATGTGAAATAAGGAATGACCCCTCCAAACTGAGTTTTACAGCGTAATATACAACTCCTTGCTCCTGGTTGCCTACGGAAAGGCATCTCGACAAACCACGGATTCGTGGTAACTGACCACCTGCTGCGCCAGATGCATCGCACACCATTTTGTCTGCTCGCCATCAGCCAAAAACAGTTTTAGGATCTGCTACTCATACGCTGCAAAGAAACATCATGACTTTCTCCCACGCCTACGTAAGTCAAATAAAAAATGGTTCCTCCAAGACCCGATTTTACGGCTCATTGAAACGCCAGTTCCTCTTAGTTGTCTAGGGGACTATCTGGCACTGCGGA